CCCATACCCAGACTTTCTGATTTAGTAAGTCTGGGCTGGGGTAGAGAATTTTTATTTCCATCAGTTTCCCAAATACTGTTGGTGATGCTCTTCTAGGGTCCACACTTTGGGAAATACTGCTCTAAGCTCCCTTGTTTCTAACTACCCAGGCTTCCTACTACCACTCAAATTAAAGTTTAAAGTCTTTGGCTCATGTACAGGTCCTCATGGTCTATTCCTTTCTTATCTGGTTTAGCCTTGACTAAACCCAGGAGACAAATTCCTTGTTAAGAGGAATAAGAGGGACTAAACACCTAAAGTGTTAAGTCCTTGTTAAGTCCCTCTTATTTCACCTCTTTTGAGCCCAACACTTTGGTTAAAAAGAACTATTTTCAGTGCCCAGACTGAATGAAAGCTCATTCCAGGGACTTCCACTGTTCTAGGGCCTGGATGCTGAACTCTAACTCGCCTTCTCTGCTCAGTTTTTCTGATGTACCCTTCCTTCTTGCAGAATTGAGCTTTCTCCTTGGTCTCCATACCACACCTTGAGCGCACTTCCATTAGATACTGTAAAACTTTTTTTTCCATGAGGTTCTTTTTCTGCCAGACTGGGAGCTCTTGGTATGCCATAGCTGATTGTTGTATGTACTTCCAACTTCAAGTACAGTGCCTAGCACTTGGTGGATGCCCAGTAAATAATAATAGCTAATATTTATTGAACACTTAGCATTTTCCAGGACATTGGGTAGCTCACTTTCCTCCTCCCCTCCCTCTCTCTCTCTTCCTCCTTCCCTTCCTCCCTCTCTTACTTTCTTCCTTTTATCCAGTTGAATAATAATGCTTTTCAATCAATCAGAGAGAGGGTTGGGGGCAGAAAATGAGAAGAGGTAAAGGTGGTGGGGAGATATATGTAACTAATGCAAAATAAGCACACACTGTGGTTTTTAAAAATCACCTTCTATTATGTGAGTTAGCCACATATGTCCTCTTGATCCATCAGCTCCTACAGAGAAGAGGTATCTTTGCCAATCTTGTTTACTTTGTCACCAATCTCCCATACACTATGCAAACATTTTCTTACAAACCTATTGATCTATAATTGAAATGTAAAAAAACAGCACATATTTAACAACATATAATTTGGTAAGTTTTGACATATGTGTACACCTGTGAAACCATCACCACAATCAAGTTAATGAACTTGTTTATTTGTGCCCTCAGACAACTGATGATTTGCTTTATGTCACTTTTGATCATCTCATGTTTTCTATGATGTCCTATAAATGACATTATCTGACTTCTTTCACTCAGCATAATTATTTTGAGATTCATTCATGTTGTTTTGTTGTATCAGCAACACATCCCTTTCCCTCAGTTTTGAAATATAATTGACACATAATATTGTATCAGTTTAAGGTATACAACATAATGACTTGATATATGTATAAATAGCCAAATGATTACCACAATAAGTTTAGTTAACATCCATCACTTCACATAGTTAAAATTTTGTTTTCTTGTGATAAGAACTTTTAAGATTTACTCTCTCAGCAACTCTCAAATATACAATTCGGTATTGTCAACCATAGTCACAAGGCTGTACATTACATCTCCAAAACTTAATCATTTTACAAGTGGAAGTTAGAACCTTTTGACCACCTTCACTCATTTTTTCCAGCCCCCACTGACAACCACCAACCTGTTCTCTGGGGAGACAGACTTTATTATTAGCTTCATTTGACAGATGAGAAAACTGAATTATAAGGAGTTTAACGTAACAAAGATCACACAAATTGTAGTGAGACTCCAAAATCCAGTGACTAGACTCTTAGCCCCTGAGCTACCAATTTTGAAATGTTAACTTGAATGAATTCATACATTTCTCTGCTAGTTCTAAACCAGATATTCTCTCAACTTCTTCCAAAACAAAAATCAGAACATAGGGAGGGTAAAATCTCAAAGCTGAAGATAAGATGTACTATAATTTAGTACATCTTGAATTTTAAAATTGTTAACACTTAGTGGTAAGCACTGTGCCTTGTTTTTATTTTAAAAACTTAATAAAATACATATTGTGTTATTTTACATTTCTTTTTGTTATGGGTTAAATTGTGCTCCCCTCCCCAATTCATATGTTAAAGTTAGGACTCAGTACCTCAGAATGTGACCTTTCTTGGAAATAGAGTTATTGCAGAAGTAACTAATAAAGATGAGTTATACAGGAGTAGGGTGGGCCCCTAATCTTTATTATAAGGACTAGTGTCCTAATAATAAGGGAAAATTTGGACACAGACACTGTTATGGACTGAGTTAGGTTCCCCTATAATTCATATGTTCAAACCCTCACCCCCAATATGACGGTGTTTGGATATAGAGCCTTTAAAGAGGTAATTATTAAGGTTAAATAATGTCATAAGGGTAGGGCCCTAATCCAATAGGACCGATGTCTTTATCAGAAGAAGAGATAACCAGGAGTGTGAGCACCCAAAGAAAAGACCCTATGAGGATGCAGAAAGAAGTTGGATATCTGAAGCCAAGGAGAGAGAAACCAAACTGATGTCTTGATCTCTGATTTTCAGCCCCCAGAACTGCGAGAAAATAAATTTCTGTTGTTTAAGCTACCCAGTCTGCACTGTCTCTTCTTCAGTCCTGCTGAGACAGAATAAATCAAGGACTTTGACGTTCAAAGAGCTTTGGAATTGCTGAAAGAGAGTTTCCCAACTGGACACAGCAGTAGCCAATGTTGACCACATTTCAGTTTTCTTTGCTGATATTCTCTTGGGAGTCAGTATCCTGAAACTGGGCTTCTTCTGAAAATCTTTTATTTGAATCTTGAAGATGCCAAAGGCTAGTAAATAATTGTGTTCTCCTCCAGAGAAGCCAAATGCATGGCTCATGTCTTCCAACAGCAAATGTCTGTGGGCTATGCTTACCCATCTGTGCTATTTTGCAGCTCTTCTTTTTCCTTTATTCCCAACTCTTTCACAATTTCTCTTTATTCTTTCATACTGTAACCATTGTGGAAAGAAGACAGGCTAAATCGTGCATAACCCAACCCTTTATTCTTTTAATATTGTTTCTGTTGAAAGTGTTTTTGTAAAAGATGAATTGCTATGTAACCTGTGGATAAGCAGCATATTTGTGTAAGGGTTTCAGGAATTAGCTTCAGGGGAGGAGGCTGATGCCAGGAATCAGATATTCTGGCTCTGGGAGACTTGCTGACTCTCAACCATAAAAACTGGACCTCCACTTGACCAGTTTTGAGATAATCATCAGAATGGACTGTGCTGATTCACTCACAGAGAACTTTCACCCCCTCCCCGATTTCTTTGTTCTGTTTCCCCTCTCCCTTATAAAAACAGCTGCCTGCACTGAGATGTTAAGATGGTCTTTAGGACTGGAGTCCACTATCTTCTCAGGCTGATGGCACTGGAATAAACTGTCTTACCTTCACCAGCACCTGTCTCTCAAGTATTGGCTTTTGAGGTGGTGGGCAGCCAAACCTGAGTTCAGTAGCAAGTGGACAAATAAGAATATGAGCATTTTCTTCACCTGCCTTGCCAGGAGCTCCAAATTCTGTCAGAGGTAGACACATTCGAGTCTCCAGCTACCAGGCTCACTGCAGAATTTGTCTTTAGGTGTAGACAACCTAGCCAAAGGGATAGCCCCCCTTTATTTAAGACAAACCATCTTCTACTGAATCAAAGGTGTTGGTGATAGTATACAAGCAGAGTGCTTTAGTCAAATTAGTGATATGGTGTCTATACCTCTTTATCACCACAACCATTCTTTTTCTTCTTTCTCTCCCCCTTCACCACCTCCTCCTTAAAAAACAAACAAACAAACAAACAATTTAGTGAGAATCTGTATTTAAATAGAACTTTGAGTAGCATGGCTTCAGGAACATGTTGATAGTCTCTGAGGGTGGCATTTTGGTTCCTGATTCCCCTGGTTAGAATTCAATTGTTCCTGGATTTATTGCTATATTATTTTTTTGTCTCTGTGGAAACATTCATTTAACGTGTTATGCAAACTTGTTGTCTCTAAATAGATTGGTAACTACTCGAAGGCACATCTTAGTTACCTATGTAATCACTGCAAGGCTTGTCACTGTGCTATGAACAAAGCGTCAAAAGTGTTTGTGATCATTAATATTGTGGTGTGTGAGATGTGCTGGGAAGGGCACAATACATGCCTTTGTGACTATTTGGTGAATCAATACTTTAACAAATCTTTTTATAAAGTGGTTTTGATGCTTAAAAATTTCCAAACCATCCCCCCCTCACGCTACCTTTTTTTTTTCTTTTATACAACTTTCAAAAAATAAGAAGTGCGGAGGAGAGGGGAGGGAGGCTAGCAGCTAATCTATCCTTGGGATCTTTACTTATCTGCCCTAAGAACATGCATCTGAGTTGTGATCTTCAGAGATCGTGTATTTATTTGCTCAGTTTGGAGTTATAAATAGAAGCGGGAATTAATAGTTATTGAATCTACCACGAGTGAGATACAATTTTTTTCTCATACCATCCTCATGGCTATTCCATACGGTTGATGCTGGGAAGAGAAGAAGGGAAACTGAGCTCGGTTTCAGGCTGTCAGTGAATAAGCAGGAAGAGGAAACAGTCTGATTTCAAGAGAAGCTCTGCATCTTCCACCTCCCCCCCGCCCCCACCCTCATGCATCCCCCTTTGCATCATTGGGTGGAGCCGCCTGCTACAGTGCTCTTTCCCTTCGCGCTACTCTCCCTGCACAGGCACGGACAACTCTTCACCAAAACTACCCCGTGCTGTGTCAATGGTTTCCGGCAGAAGCCACACGCCCAGCTACACCGTCGATCTAACCCAGCCGCCCAGCCCCAGGCTCTGCAGCGGCCTCGCTCGACAGCAACGCAGTTCTGACATTTAAATCCTCAGGTCGCGGGCCGCGGAAACGCTCCTAGGCACCGCCCCCTTCGCAGGGCTCCTATGATTGGGCGAGGCTGAGCCCGGCTGGCCAATGGTGAGGCGGCAGCAGCCTCCCGGAAGTGGCGGCGCGGTCCGGCATTCCGCGGCCTCGCGCCGGGCTTGCTGGCGGACCCAGCGCTCCGGGGGTGGCTGGCGCTATGAGTTCCTTCCAGGGACAGATGGCCGAGTACCCGAGCATCTCCATAGATCGCTTCGACAGGGAGAATCTGAGGGCGCGCGCCTACTTCCTGTCGCACTGCCACAAGGGTGAGCGATCGCGGCGTGCCGCCCACTCCC